TTTCAAGCTTCTTGATCACAGACTCCTTTGTAGCATTGGATTAAAAAACTACCGATACGTTGTCTTCTGGGATGGATCTTTAGAATATTTTAGCACTCAACATCTCTGGTATGCTATACCGGCTCTCATTTGTTTTTTCTTATTCATAATTCCATTTCCACTGATACTCACATTTGATGGACTATTGTTAAAGGTTGAGAGTAAACTGGCCATTTGTTTTGCTTTTATTAGAAGGTTAATGCCATGGACTGCAATACATTATAAGCTGAAGCCTCTTCTCGATTCTTTCCAAGGACCTTTCAAGGATCAATATCGTTTTTTTGCTGGTCTTTACTTCTTTTATCGATTATTATTACTTAGTTTATTTGTAATGGCCTCTACTGAATTTCAGTATTATTTTTATCTGGCCATAGCACTGACTCTCATTATAATGATACAAGCTACTGTCCAACCATTTCAGGAGAAGAAGCACAATATTTGTGCCATCCTTACCTTCACTAATATGGCACTAATAAACTTATTCACTGTATGTATTTTCTTCCTGGAGTCCCACAATGGGTATAAAATTGGGGCTATCTTGGCACAATGTATACAAATCATACTTATATATATTCCACTGGTTGCTGTGGCTTTCTGGTTGTTGAGGATATGTTACTACAAAATCAAAGTCAATGGGCACACTCTTGATAATCATGGTAGTTATGAAGAATTGTTATTTGATAGAAGTGCTGGATTCTCTGCCGTTCATGAGAATAGCTGAAAAAGTACTTCAGCTAAACTTTAATTAATTTACTAATATAATAATAAAGTGACTAATAGCTAATAAGTATTATAGGTGTTCTTTCATTTTACTGTTATAACTGTTTTATTGTAGTTCTCAAAGCATCTTTGTTCATTCCTTTTTAGATTAGAAATTTTTCTTCTGTGCATCCTGACTATGGTAGTAGGATATCTGACCTTTTGCAGCAATTTAAAAAAGTATATGCATAATACTAATAAATTTATCACATAGTGTATTTTTTTAGAAAAAGCAAGTATCATCAAATTTGTGATTCTAATTATATATATATATATATATACTGCTGACAATAGGACTGTTTTTGATTGTTTGCAATTGATATCAATTTTTGCTAAAAAATTTGTAGTAGACTGTTAACTAGTGTTCATTAGATTGTTGTTTGTGTAAGGGATATAAAGAGTTGTATAGGTAAAGGAAATGACATCATCATGACGCATGACCATTGACCGGATTACACCACTCACAGCAGCAGAGTAGATCTATCTTCCCCTCGATAATCCCCAGACTACAGCAGCAGGAACTCAAAATTTTATTAACAATGGCTGAAGAAAAATTGCTACTAATAACTGATCCTCAAGGAGATGATGGTAAGATTTAGAATCTATGCTGGGTGAGGACTATTTCTGATATTACATTTACTATTAGAGTACATGCACCAGTTATGAGACACTTATGTTTTTTTTTAATTTTCAAATGTTATTATTGAAATTACAGGCAGTGTCTCATAATACTAACCATCCACAATACCAGAATCTACTCTACGTCTCTAAATGGTATTTTAGTAAATCCAAATGTGGGATTATGAAAAATGGCATGATTTTAATGAAAATTTACTTAAGACAAATGTCAAGTAATGACATGTCTGTATATCAATGTCTGTATATGTACATGCAGTTCACAAGGTGTACTATGCTATACCAGGTATAGCACCCTTTTGATTATCACAGTGACAGCTATTACAATCATTGAAAATATACCATTCAATATGGTACCCGATCTGTTGCAAGACAGTAGATAATTTTAAAGAAAACAAAGAAAAAATCATGGCAATGGTCAATAAAGCAAGGACAATTCAAAAAGTAGGTCTTTCAGGCACAACAGTATCTAATGCTCTAGCTATAACAGGAGCAGTTCTAGCTCCTGTCACTTTTGGTGGGTCTCTTGCATTAACAGCAATAGGAAGTGTTGTAGGGTTAGCTGCTGCTAGTGGGGGTTTTGCTGCAGTTGCTTTAGCAGTTCACAGTATGAAAAAGTTAAAAAAAGCACAAACAGTTATCGACCTAGATCAGCAGATTAATTTGAAAATGCCTGTAAATATTATCGAATGATGATGCAACTTACATCTCATTCAGCTGAGGCAGGGAATACGGAAAAAAACAGCTGCAGTTGTTGTACATGCTACTGATCATGTTGCTGGAACGACCGGAGCCTCATCAGATTCAGCTGCAACAGATAGTTTGATTGCATATCATAGCTATCACATACACAAAACAAGAAATGAGATTATACGCAATTTGGTGGAAGCATTATTTAAAGGTACATAGATATATATAATATAATTATCATTATCTGAATTTTAATTAGGTATGTGTCATGCAATCAATGAAGTTGAGCATGAAGTTCAATCAGAGACAAATATTCTTAAAAATGCTGAGTATGGTTATGAAATTCACATGATATGCCAAGAAAAGAAAATAAAAAGCTTGCAGTTACAGTTCGCACTCTCTTCTCTGGTCCATTTGTTTTTCCTGATGGGCATACTCTTGTAAGTGCTGTATATGATATCACAATGCCAAAGCTACCTCATCCAGCAACCATTAAGCTGGAGCATTGTGTTGATGAATCTGATCAAACTAGATCAGATTTGTGTTTTGCTATTGGTAGCATTGACTTGAAAGAAAAAAACAGTGATTTTTATGTATTTACTGAATTTATAATGTTGGTAATCTATACATACAGTAAGTAGGATATTTGACCTTTTGCAGTAAATTTCTTTTAGAAGAAACAAGTATCATCTAGACCTGCGCTAATTATGCCAAAATAATTTTAGGAATAATAGGGGCTTCATCTCATATGGCATAATGCTGGAATAATTAGATAAGATGCAGGGCCGTAGCCAGGAACTTAAAACAGGGGGTTCGGAAATTGCTGCGCGCGAAGCGCGCAGCAAAAATTTTGCCAAAATGGGCGTGGTTGGTAGGAGTGGTCTTAATTTACTCATCTCGGCCATGTGCTGACTCAGCTAAAATGGCCATCTGTGCTTCTCGCTGTTGCCAAAATGCTAATCCTGCTTTTGCAGTGCTGTTCTTCATGACAGGAGCTAATCTAAAACTTTTTTGCAGCTACAACAGGGGGTTCGTCCGAACCCCCCGAACCCCCCCTGGCTACGGGCCTGAGATGGGCATAAAGGTGGAATACAACCTTTATGTAATTAGATGAAGTTAAGTTTATTTGTTGTTGCAATAATGACTACAAGATAGTTTTGGTCACTACATTTTAAAAGACATACTCTTCAACACCAATTATATGTTACATTCACTGCCATGTGTTTTTTGTTTATTGCAAAAATTAATTTTTTGAGAGAATAAAATGGGAGTAGAACCGTTAGTAGAGGAAGTGACATCATTTATGACACATGATGATTATTATTAGATAGATTAGATCTCCGACACGCCCCGGTCCCCGGAATCCAAGCAGCAGCGCAGCAGTAGGCTACTATCCGCCCCAGACTAAAAACAGCAGGAATTCAAAGTTTTCCTTAAAATGGCTGAAAAAAACTCGCTACTAACAACTAATCCTCAAGGAGATGATGGTAAGATTTAAAGTTTATGCTGGGTGAGGACTATTATAATTTACTATCATGTCGTATGAAAAAATGACATAATTATATATATGTATATATATTATATATAATATATATATATAATGAAAATCTGTTTAAGACAAATGACAATCTGTATGTGGCTATGTGCAGTTCACAAGGCCTACTATGCTATTCATATCTTTCTTCTAAATGACGTTAATGATTTATAATGATATTCACTGGGATACTGTAAATAGAAATTTTTTCACACTGCCTGGCATTGTGCTGAAGAGCGGCTTCATATGACATCATAGCATACATCATAATTACTTCCGTATGGTAAAATGGCTACTTTGCCATTCATTTGTACCGCGTTATAAACTCTTCTGGCATGCACCAGTATATTTACATGTACAGCTATAATATTATAGTGTTACAAAATATTTTAACTTTTTTTTCATTTGTAGGTACTGCAGCAGATGATATATCCGAGATCCATACTTCAGAATTAGGAAAAGGTACATTTTAAAGTAAATCATTTTTGTGTCACCAAAATTAAAGCATCAAATACTATGGTGTCATGTACTATGCATGCATTCATTAGGCACATATAGGTTATGGAGTCAGAGTACAGAGACTAAGAGAATTGGATCAAATTTAAAAACTTGTTAAGCTAGATCTAAATATACAAAGTTTTAATAAAAAATAGTCTTTATCTATAATAAACATACTAAAATTGACTATTTGACCCAAGTTGTTTTAGATATGAAGGTATAAACACATTTAAATTGAACAGTGCAATCAGTTTCGCTAATTAGCACATAGAATGTGTTCAGGCAGAAAACAGAACCACTTAGGAGTCGCTAGCCTTAACATTCAAAAAACATGTAGAATTTTTGTTATTAATTGTGAAAACAATTAAAGTGCATGTTAGGGAGAAATTTGGGTACAAAAACAGTATAAGAGAGGTGAAGGATGCACCTCTTTAAGTCGTCAGTTGTCTGCACATGTATGGTTGTTATCTATTCATTTATAGTACCTGGGATCTGCATTAAAATGGGGAAACATACTAAATTCAAAGCTCAATAACGAGACATAATTGGTACATTGACCTTGCCAAAACATTTATATGTATGATTTCAAAACTATAATTTGTCCTGCATATTACCACTGTATTAAAAGTTACTTGCTTAGATACAATAGTGTTGATTGCTATAGTTTTGATTGCATTCTTCATAGTCTAATTAAGATGTGAGGGTGTTTGGGTGTGGCTGCAAACTGACAGCATGCAGTTGTTACAGTACAGATAAAGTGTGAAATCTTGATTGCTATAGAGTTGCCACAGTCCAGGAATAGTCTCACTAGCCAGACCATTCCCCAGCCCAATGACTATAGGCTGGGGAATGGTCTGGCTAGCGAGACTAGTCCAGGAAAGTGTTAAATCTTGATTGCTAGAGTAAAATGGTGTCTCTTGGGCTAACTGCTGGAAGAAGCTTGAGTTTCTTGGACTTCTACTCAGTGCGCACACACATTTAGTAGGCTCTATTTGTTCCATACAAACTCTTGTCAAGTGTCTGAAGTTTGTAGGCCACCTTAGCTATTCCTCCTTAAGGACAAGCGGCTCATGTAAAGTCAAGAGGTAAGTGATTTTTAGGCAATCATATCTTCAAAACAAAGAAAGTTCCAGCAAATGCTTCATTATTTTTTCAGATCCCTGTTCGAAGCAGGAAAAAATTCATTGAGAATTAACCTGCTACATTTGGCAAGATTGATGGCTTTTGGTGCCTTCCACTGCCAGTTATGCTGCTTGATAAAGTAGTAGAAAGTAAATTTTTCTAGCCCATAAAAAAGTTTTTGTGACTGTACAGCCCCTTTTAAAACCACAGAGCCTCACAGTGTGAATTGTGGGAATGACAGACTTAATTGCATAGTCCTCGCCCATGCTAATTGCTGGTGAGGCCAAAAAGGGCATGCAGGGTCTGGCTCACTAGACTATGATATAGATTAAAATGTAGCACAAAAGATGAAGTACCTACATGTATCACACAACTGCTTTTACATAAATTCACTACCACACCAGCTTGTAAGTATACCCTCTTGTTTCCACTTTATTACATTTAATAATTAATGATTTAATATTTTTGTTTTATGTAGATATAACTAATCAGTCAGATTCAACTGAAGTTGATGTGTCAAAAATAGGTAATTATTGTTACAGTAGTATGCAATATATTAAGTAATTGCTTCCCCATAATAGATACTAATGCAATGAAAACCTTCAAGGAACTCATCCAAGTAGAAAACATTTCAACAGATGTTAACATACTAGTTATTGGAAGGACAGGACAAGGAAAGTCTGCATTAGTCAATAGCCTCATTGAGCTAGGAGAAGAAATTGTGCGTGAGGGGTCAACTACTGATAGCTGTACACAAACACCCCAGTCTTACACCTACCCAAACATCATTCCTGGTGTCAATGTCACAATAATTGATTCTCCAGGTCTGCAAGATGCTCAAAACCAAGAGTACAAACACATTCAAGAAATGAAGAACGAATGCCACGAGATTAGTTTGGCCCTCTACTGCATGAAGATGACAGACAAGCGATTAATCAATGATGACAAAGTTGCTATGCAAAAGCTCCATCAAGCATTTGGTCAAAAATTCTGGGAGAGAGTTGTATTTGTTTTAACCTTTGCAAATGATGATAGGTTAAAAAAATGGGATAAAGATAGAGATGAAGATGACAGAAATGAGGAACTCAGTTTGGAAGACCGGATGATCAAACGACTGAAAGGAAGAGTTCAACATCGCAAAGACAAATTAAATGCATTTGTCAATGACCTCCTACAATTACAACACACATCAAAGCAGAGTCAAGATGCAATCCAAAAGACAAAGTTTGAAGTCCTTCCAGCTGGATATTATGACCCTGATCATGATGATATTCCTCGTGGTGTCAACTGGCAGCGTGACCTTATTGCTTTTTGTTGCAATACATTAAAGCACAAGCACAGATTATCAAAACTAAAACTAAATAAAAGTAAGAACAATATCAATTACGTGCACAATATCAATTTGTAATATTTTATAGAGATTGCTTTAGCTATTATCATTGATAATCGTGGAGAAATCAAGGTGGAGAATGAAGAAAAAATATTAAATGATGAAGCAGCAGCTCTTAAAAAAGCTTTTGAAAATCTTGAGTTTGCTGTTCTTTACTTTAACAGCCTCTCCTCAGAATCAATAGCTACTTTGCTTGAAGCAATAAGTGAAGTAAATCATTCTCATTTATCGATGATAGCCCTAGTATTTCTCAGTAAAGGGAAGACTGCTGAGCTATATGATGCTGATGACGTGGCTGTGCCTTATTCTGCTTTGTTTCGCCATTTTGAAAGATCTCCAATTCCAGTTATATTCTTTTTTGATTCATTATGTGATGATAAAAAGAAAAAGGATGATTCAAAAATTGATTTTCATTTGCCTCTACATATTTGCCCCCAAAATTCCCTGGTTCTCGCTGCTACATACAATTCAGCATCATCTCCTGTACTCAAAGAGTTCACAGAAAAGCTGGGCCACACCAGTGTCCAAAAATGCTTTGAAACAATATGTGCTAATAATAATAGCACTACTGTGAAAAGCATATGGCATGACACTCTTGGGAATTACTCATTTATTGTCAAATCAACTTATGACAGGTAAGTAAAAAAATTCAGTTATTTTTGATAAATTAATATTTTGTTAGGATTGAAACTTTTGAACAAAAATTAGAAGTATACCATTCAATATGGTATTTCATTCGTTGCAAGACAATAGACAATTTGGGAGACAACGTAGAAGAACTCATGTCAATAGTCCATAAAGAAAGAGCAATTCAAATAGCAGCTACTGTTTCAGGCATAATATTAAGTAAAGGCTTAGTTGCAACAGGAGTAGTTCTTGTTCCTTTAACTTTTGGTGGGTCTCTTACATTATCTGCATTAGGTGTTGCTGTGGGGTTTGGTACTTGTGGTGCTGCACTTGCTTCAGTAATTCGTAATAAGAAACGGTTAAAAAAAGCACAAGAAATTATCAGCCTAGATCAGCAAATTAGTTTGATAATTAATGAAGATGCCAATGAATATTATCAAATGATGATGCAACTTGCACCTCATGTATCAGAGTCTTCAGTTATTGGTGCAGCAGCTACTATCAGAGGTGCAACTGCTGGTACTGTACCTGAAGCAGAAAATACAGTTGAAACAGCTGCACTTGCAGTACATACTACTGGTCGCATTGCTGGAATGACTGGAGCCTCTTTAGCTGTAACAATACCAATCGATATTTGTAGTATTGCATATCATAGCTATCACATACACAAAGCAAAAAATGATCCCTTAGAGAAAGCTAAAATTACTGTTAAACCAGAGCAGATTATACATAATCAAGTGGAAGCATTATTTAAAGGTATATACAATTATTACATATATGATATGTGTAATTACTGTCATTTTTGAGTTTTATCTATTTTTAATATTTACACGTAGGTACATGCCATGCAATTAATGAAGTTGAGCACGAAGTTCAATCCAAAAAAAATATTCTTAAAGATGCTGAGTATGGTTATGAAATTCATGTGCCAGTAAAAGAAAATAAAAAGCTTGCAGTGACAGTTCGTACAATCTTCTCTGGTCCATTTGTCTATCCTGATGGGTATACTCTTGTAAGTGCTGTATATGATATCACAATGCCAAAGCTACCTCAACCAGCAACCATTAAGCTGGAGCATTGTGTAGAAGAATTTGATCAGACTAGATCAGATTTGAGTTTTGCTGTTGGCAGCGTTGACTTGAAGGAAAAAAAGATAATCTTTGAAAAAGTGGATCAAGAGTTTAATGGATCAATTCAACAAAAAAGCAGTTGTCTCTTATGCATATTGTACAGGAGAGCAATATACATGTAAGTAGTGTTATTATCACAATTTTTTATTGATTCATTCAGGCAAGACAAAAGCACTGTGAAATATGTTGCTCAATGTTTTTACGAAAGAAAGTACAAGAACTTTTGGACTCTGAATATTGCTTTTACAAAGCTTCTGTATGTTAATTTTAAGGTATTTTTAGCTGAATAAAATGCCAAAATACTCAATTATTTTTCTATTTAGCAAACTCAGTATACATGTAGATATGGTCTTCAAGGCTCATACTATCCATTTGTTTTTGATTCTTCCATGCTCTCTCTTGATCTAACTTGCTTTAAAGATACAAAAGAGTTCTCTGGATGGATAGTATCACCAAATGATAGCGAAGAAATGCCAGACACAGTTAGTTATACTTGTAGACTATATAGTGTTTTATAACTGCTACTCATTATTAGATATCAATGCAAACAATTGACACTGTTGAGTTGAGAGAAAGAAGTGCCCAAGTGCTTAGAAAATCATTTCCCTCCATCAGTTTGTATGTTTATATTTTTAATGAAGAAACTGCTGCTGACACAATAAATGAGTTGTTCAAAGTTGGAGGAACAAACTTAAGCATTAATATCAGCCGTCACAAAGAATAGGCTAGAGCTTTATTGATAATAATTTAGTACTTTTAATTGTATTGTGTGACTTTGTTACTTAAGGTGAAAATTAATTTTCCAATTTATTGAGTGCTGTGTTCTTAATAATTTAAATTTATGTGACTTTGCTATTTTTATTAGTTATAACTGTTAGCAAAAAAGCTACAAAATCCAGGACTATTATGCTAATAATAACAAAATTAGCTTTTGGTTATAATAATTATTTTAACTAAAAACATGAAATTCAAAATGGTCGACTTTTTGTTTTTACTAAACCAGTAGGTAATCTACAACATACAAGTAAGTAATCTTGGTGATACTGATACATGTAACTACACTATTGCAGACTTGCAAGTGATAGTTGCTTTTACATTGCTACTCATAGCAAAAGGTTTGAACTGATCGCTTCTAAATTATTGATTAAAAAAATTTGTTCCAACAGTATGTTTATTGTCACTATCATACTCTTTCCTTAGTCTTCACTCTCTTTCTCACCCTTCTCTATTCTATATGGTCATTTATTAATATTCACAGCCAGGCACAATTGGAGTATATAACCAGTTAATTATCCTTAAGCAACTTGTATCAATCAATGTGATGGACCAACAACAGCAAATAATTTTGAGGGAGTCTAGCAGGTTTGGATTATTTTAAGCAAAAAAACTCCTATTACCCAGGTAGTTTGACCCCTAAATGACCCTTAAAGTATTAGTGATTAAGTGAAGTCAAGAGATGTATGATGACAGTTTGTCTCAAGTGTGTAGCATTATTTCTCAAACTGTAAATATTATGTCTAATCGCTTATCATCCATCGTATTATTTCACTTTCAGTTTTAATGTTATTGAACTGCAAATCTGTAATCATAATTTATTTCCTTCTTATCTTTTGTATTATAGATAAGTTTTTTGCTGAAGGCGCTAGCATCAGAGTTGTCTTGTTTCAAATTTCATCGTTGTGTCACATTTGAGAGATGGTCAGTAAATATTCATATTTGTTTTGACTATTATGTGTTAGCAAAAAATATGTGCATGATGTAGAGACTTGCTATGTGTATGGGCAAGTACTAGTTAATTTAGGTTTAAAATTCCTGCATTTTACTTTACAGTGACCTAACATATGTTTGATACAAATATTCTACTGTAATCAACTAATCATTAGTTTCATTTGAAGATATGTTTATTCTAGTGTGTCACTTTCATGCATTATATTTGTATTCTCTATGGTCTTACAATTATTTATAATGACAAAATTTGTTTTGTGAAGTGTATATTCATTAAGGAAAAACTTTGTGATTAAGTTTATTCGTTTTCAGTATGATAAAAAGGAGTAAAACAAAAGCAAAGCATTTGCATTGTAACAAGTGGCTGAAGAAATGATGAAGAGTGTCTTACTCCTCTTGTTCTTATTATTATTGATTCAAGGGTTTGCTTCGAATGAGATATACATTTCATCCAATGGATCCAGTGAAGCTTCATGTGGTTCTATTCACTTTCCCTACTTGTCTCTCTCTGATATTACTCAATGGGAGAATGATACAGTTGTCATTATAAAGGGAAGCATTGTATTGGACCGTGTCATTGAAATACACTCAATTCATAACTTGACTTTCACTTCTTCATCTTCCAACAGTAATAAAAAAGAAAAGGCAGCAGTTATTAATTGTGTCTGTCCTTCATACAATAATTGTGGTCTGATTATTGAGGATTGTCAAGATGTGACCTTCAATGATTTGAATGTATTTGGATGTTCAGTGCAGCATGTGATAGGTGTATCAATGAGGCATTATTATCGCTCTGGTATCATAGTAAATACAACCACTAATATGCTATTAAGCAACGTGTCTATCAGTAAGAACATTGGTACTGGTTTATTATTAATCAATGCAGCTGGGAATATCACAATAGAAGAGTCAGTTTTTTCAAACAATTCAATACCTTACGCTCTACAACAAATTGGCTCAAATGGTAGCCTTATTCATGGAGGTTCTGGTCTAGTGATACTGATATCAGCTTGTGAGGTCACTGCTGATAATTGCATGCACAATACGTCAGCATCAGGTAACTATAAAATACAAGGCACACTGTTTAATAACAATACAGTTAACCTCACAGATTTTAATAGGGAAGATTGGTCGTTTAGTTATGGGGGTGGACTTGGAATATTTTTAATATGGAATGTTAAAGGAAACATTTTTAGTATAAAAGGGACTAATTTTACTGGTAACAAAGCGACTGTTGGAGGTGGAATGATTTGGGATTGTGGGCATTTCTGTCAAGGGAACATAATAAATCTTGAAAATTGTAGTTTTTCAAAAAATTTATTTTCTAATGAGAATCTGGATTTTGGTGGAGCTGGAATGGCAATAGGCATTGCTCATCGTAACTCTAGTTATGTTTCAGCTGACAATAATATAACAGTTGTAGGGACAACTTTTTCTAATAATACTGGAAACTATGCCAGTGGAGTTCTGATTTATTGTAATGCACTGGGTCATGATGAACCAATAAAATCTTACAATTATGTTCATTTTATTAGAAGCACGTGGGACAGTAATAATGGTACAGCAATTGAGATTGAGCCAAATTATAAAAGTCAGTACTTCACTGAATTCACTACTAGAACAATTTTTGAGGATTGCATCTTTGCTAACAATGCCATTATGAAGCAGTATAATTATACAAAAATGTCTTTCTACACTTTTAGTGAAGGAATTGGAGCATTTGTTATTACTAAGCTAACAGTTTATTTTAAAGGCAATAATTCTTTTAATGACAACAAGGGCACAGCATTGTATATTTTTTCAGGGTCAGCATACTTTGAAAAAGGAGCAGTGACTATTTTTAAGAATAATACAGGTACTTATGGTGGAGCTATTGGTCTAGTAGGATACTCTACTATTCAGTACAAAAATGATACAAAGTTTGAATTTAGAAATAACTCAGCTAGCATTGTTGGTGGAGCTATATATATTACAGCTATCAGACCACACATTTCGCTATCATCTCATTTGTGCTTTCTTCAGCACCACCACACCAAGCATCCTAATGCAAAGTTTATTTTTAAGGAAAATTGGTCTCACACTGGAATTGCAAATTCAATATATATGACAAGTACTAAACCATGCCAATCAGCATGCAACAGTAAATCAAATGAGTCGTTCATTAATCAAACTTGTTTTGGGGTATTTGATTTTACTAATTATAGCAATGTGATTGCATCAGGAGGTTCAGTATTTACTGTCAGTCAACCAACCCCTCTCTCCATTATACCAGGGAGGAAATACTCACTACCAATAACACTTTATGATGACATGGGCCAAAACATCACAAAAATTGCTACATTTCAATCAACTTTATCAAAAGGCAAGAATATTGACATATCAGCTGGTTTTGAGTTTGTATCTAATAAACAGATCAAAATTACTGGCAAACCAGGAGAGAATGATGATCTATCATTAAGACTGATTGGTTTCGAAAATATAGAAGTTAGTATTGGTATAGAGCTAGCATCATGTCCACCTGGTTATGTGATTGATGATGATTCCTCTAGTTGTGTGTGCTCAGCATCACAAAACAATAAGTCACTCACATATGTTGGTATTTATCGTTGTGATGAAAGTAAAGAAGTAGCCTTGGCCCTTAAGGGCTATTGGGCTGGCTATGTTTTACCAAATGAATCAGCTACACCAAATTCAAACAACTTTTACACTAGCAACTGTCCATTAGGCTTCTGCCATGATAATCATATATTACA